CTAGGTGGACTGTGATGAACTCCTGTTGTTGACCCACAGGTAATGTCCAGCTTCAAAATGCAGAAATTGTCCTTAGGATCTGATTCTTTTCTTTTCCCTGAGTGCAGTCAGTTAGCTTGATTCAACTAGGACAAACTCCAGTGAAGACGAGGCTGTCTCCCCTCGCCTCTATAGTTGTGCTCTTCAATATGGTAGCCACCACCACCTCTGGCCTTGCAAATTTAGCTAACTGAAAATTTAGTTTTTCAATTTCATTAACTCTGCAGTTTCAACCAATTGTATCTTAGTGCTCAGTGGTCACATGCATTTTGTGGCTACTCTTTTGGACAACACAGGTCCATCACTGCAGAAAGTGCTACTGGACTGCGGGATTTTGCAGTATTGCAGAGTCCCTAGGAGTAACTACTCTCTTGGTTCTGCAGCATCCTGTTGACTTGTAGTATGGCCAGTACCTGCCTGTTTGTTGTCTCCACTTGGAGTGCAAGGTCACCAAGGGCGGAACTATCCTGGCTTTGTTCTACTTCCCATGCCTGAGCCACTGCTGGCCTCATTGGTGCCCGCTTGTTGAGTACAAAAGTTGTGCATGGATGGCTGAACAAGCAGTATTTGCAGCCCCAAAGTAATATCCACAGGTCCCTGGAGTCTTGGGTGATGCCAGTAGGGCATACTCATTCTATTAAAAGGCTGTTTTATACAAACCATTGCTTTTTCGGAAAGAATCACAAACACACTGTTCCAAAAACAGATGAAAGAGACACCACAGATAATTGAAAATGTTTTTTAACGATAGTCCCCTGTTGTCTTGGGATTTGGTTCTTGGCCTCTGGGGCCAGTACTTTCTAGATGGGCGCCTTAGGGAGTTCTTCTGAAGCAAGGAAGGAACTCCCTGTGTTGGGGTGGGTGGAGCTTCTTCTGAAGCTCTTTAACCTGTTTGCAGACAGAGTGTTCCCTTAGCTGTTGAGCTACTCTCTAGTGCAGCTGCCATGTGTCTCTGTTGGCCCACAGCAAGCCATTTCCAAAGGAAATTTATGGCCTGTAGTTCAACACCACGGTGATGCCTGCAGCTTTTCTCCCCCTTGAGCTGTGGAGGAGACCACAGTGCAACCTCCTCTAATTTGAAAGGAAGCTCTTTCTTGATCCTTCTTTTTGGAGGGGAACAAGAGGTCTTGGAGGAGCTTCTTACTAGGGCTTAAAGTGCCTAAATGGCAAGGATGTCTTATCTGAATTTTCAGCAATTGTGTCTGGCATACAGTACGTTTCTGGTAAATAGTTTCTGACTTTGTGAATCCAGTTTTGCAATTGGATCAGTTTCTATTTGCAGTGTTACTCTGTGATAATGGAACGCAGTGTTGTAGAGTGGTTAGAAGCATGGCTTGGCAGCTGGTCTACGGGTATCAACCTCACCACTGACACATGGATGCTGTTTAATCTTGGGAAAGTCACCAGATGTCTCTGGGCTTTAGTTTTCTCATCTATAAGATGAGGATTGTAATATACTCTGTGTCATAGGATTATTGTGAAGATTAAATTAGTTAATATTTTATAAATGCTATGTAATTACCAGCTCTCATTATTTCTGCTCTTCAGATTTAAGGTCTGACTACCAAATCTGTGACTGAGGATGAGTCCTTGGTTTTTCCAGGCATTGGAAGGTACAGATATTCTCTTTCTTATGTGATCATGAACATAAAGGGAATACTGTTGCTTAGCTCCTCCTGATCCATGTGGCAAAATATCCTATCAAATGGGTCTGGAAAGCAGGGTCTTATTTCAGGTGATGGCCCAGATTTCCCTGGAGAAGGAGAGTTGTTGTGACATATATGACCTGCTGTTGGACAGCCTGGAGGCCAGCGGTGCTTGGAAGCTTGGGTATCAGGTCCACCTCTGGTCAAGTATGTGTTTCACCAGACAGGTCTAGCTGAATTTTAGAAACACAGACAGACTAGAAATGGGCCCAAAGGAGTACAGAGGCAGGACGAGAGACTTTGAGACCAGCTTTACTTGTGGTAGCCGTCTGTGTCCTGTGCCTATCCCGGATCCTGCAGCCAGGGCTTCCCAAGTCTGCCTCATTCAGGAGGACCTTTGGTTACAAGTAGCTCCTGGTGCTTAGTTGGGTTAGGCTGTAGTGGATGCTTGGGTTAGGATGTAGTGGTTAGGCTGATGTAGATGCTTGTAGTGGCAGAGGGCACTAGGGTGGGGTTGGGGGAAGGGAGAGAAGGTACCCAGCTCTCAGCCTCAGAGAACTTAGGTTCTAAGGTGGAGAGACTGTAGGAAACTGTCCCATCTGCCCATTGTGTAATGCCAGAGGAAGGCGGAAAGCCCAGACTTTGGGGGTGGGGGAGTGGCCTAGTGACCTCTGGAGTGCCAGGCTCCTGGGAAGCCAGGCTGTCACATTGCACCAGCTGATTTGGGAATATTGCCATGTGGGAGAAGCTGCTTCAGGGGTGCATTCATCACACAAATAATCATGTGCCCTGCAGTGGCTACATGCTGGGGATATGTTCACAGGTAAAAGAGACATTAACTTTGTTCTTGGGTTGCTCAGATTGGGGACTCCACTGAATCAATACATTTATCAGCACAAACTATGTTAAGAGCCACGAAGGAAAAGTGAGCCATGAGAGAGTATTACAGGGGACCTGTCCTACCCATAAGAGTCAGGGAAAGGCTCCCGGAAGATGACATCAGCCAAAATGTCAAGTAGGGGTGGGAGGGAAGGGAGAAGGGACAGTGTGTCCAAAGGCCTGGAGGTAACAGCAACTGATGCTCATTTGGGAACTGGAAAGCAGTCCCGTGTGCTTCACTGGTGGTGAGCAGCAGGGACCTGGCAACAAGAGCCGAGGCCAGAGAGAGTCTGCCAGGCCCGGGAGCCCATGAGAAAGTCTTCAAGGACAGACACCCTGTCACTGTAAGCAGGGACAGCCCAAGGGATCCTGTGCGGCAGGATGTGGATGACATTGCCCCCTCCGTGGTCCCTTCAGGTCTTCCCTCTTCCGTGTGGCCACCTGGGAAGTGGGGAGCTTCCTCTGGACACGATGCTGTAGAAGACTGATCTTTATTCTGGACACTTGATTCTATCATGAGACCCTATCAGGCCGTTTCTTTGTGGGCTTTGGGCACAAGAATCCAGGAGACTCTGGAGAGGGAGCCAGTTGTCCCTCCTGACGATGCCTGTGTAGAGGCCTTAGCCCTCAGCTGCTCCCTCCCTGGCTGAGCAGCTAGCACCCAGTCTTGATATCAAAGGAAGGGCTGGTTTTAGAGCTGGGAGGAAGTGTGTGTGGACAGGCTCAAACCCTCTTGAATTTGGTCAGGATGGAGTTCGTGTTTCCAGCACTGCCTTGAAGGTAATTCCCTTTGCACTTCTGGAAAAGGGTTAACAAGTGCTCATCTGCTTGCTTCACACAAAGGACCTGAAGATATGACCAAAACAGGGGTTACTGATATACTTCCTTGAAGCTCTATGAACCTGATGTGATTATTCAGTCAACTTTGGCGTCACCAAGGGCCAGAGCTGTGCTCATAATCTTGCCGTGCGTTACTATGGGTATCCATTCTCCCACCCCACACTGAGCCCTGCATCCTAATCAGGGATTATTAAACTGACTTTTGTGAACTAAACAACCCAATGTTTATTAAATAACTATATTCTGTTGCTGTTATAGGGGCTCACTGATAAAGGGGTTCATGGTTAAAGAAGTTTGGGAGATGCTTCATTGTATAAGCTCCTTGATCTGGTTATCTATTGTGGGATAGCAAAACACCACAGAATGTAATGACTTAAAATATTCAATATTATCTCTCACAGTTCTGTGGTTGACTGGCCTCTGTTGGGTTGGTCTCACTTGGGGTCTCTCATGCAGTTACTTCTCTTGCAATCAGGTGATGACCAGGGCTAGACTCACCTGGAGGCTTCTTCACTCATTTGTCTCTGTGCCTGAGTTGGTTGGGCATTTCTCCACATGGTTTCACCACATGCTGACGAATTCTTCCTCACAGTATGGCAGTCTCACCCCAGAGTTGTTGGGCTTCTTATATTTTTACCAGAGTGAGTGTTGTGAGAGGCCTGAGAGGAAGGCCTGACTTTGTTCAGAAGTCCAGACCACTGCTTCTACTGCGATCTATTGGTCAAGCAAGCCACTGAGGCCAGTCCAGACTTAAGTGGAGGTAATTAGATGCCATAGCTCTGAGGGAAGAGTAACAAGTAATCTGCAGCTATCTTTGATTTACTGTTCCTCATGGGGATCCACAGTGCATGAGGATGTGTCAAAGATACTTGAGAAGTGTTGCAATTAAGAACTTGTTTTATCTAGCACTTTCCAAGCTGATTATTGGTGTGACTTTTTTAGGTCAGAAAATCCCTTCCTCACAGATAACCACTTAATGTGTATTCTGTCAGAAAACAGTGGGTAAAAATTGAAGGGTGGTAGATTTGGGGCTCAGAACTACTTTTTGATAAAAAACAATTTCCAAGGATGGGGTTCATGAACTATAGAAATGGGCCCTGAAAGTATAGTCTTTCAAGGATGGGATTCAAAGATTGCTAGTGAGTTCCTAATTTGGGGATGTGCCCAAATAGAGGTCACATGACTATTTGCTTAGACAGAGGGGCTGAATGTTCCAGTGGCAAAAGCCTTGATTTGACCTCTGGATTGATCTAAGTTCAAATTCAGCCTCCAGCACTTGGAGCTTTTGTAACATTAGGCAAGGTACCTCTTGGCTTCAGCTTCCTTATCTACAGCATAAATAGTTCCTATTTCATAGGGTTGTTGCAAGGACTAATGAGACCCTGCAGGTGAATTACTTAGCACAGTTCCTGTCAATGTTCAGTACACACCAGCCATTACTACTGCTCTGATGATGTACAGAGGATGCCTTTCTCAGTTAGATTTTGTGGTTGTTCTTCTAGGGTTTTCCTGGACTTGATTCTCAAGGGTAAAGCAGTATTATAAGTCATGGACTCACCCCTACTTTTCTTGCCCTTTCACTTTTTTCCAATCCAGTTTCTCATAAGTGATCGTGATCCTCAGTGCAACCTCCACTGCTCCAGGACTCAACCCAAACCCATCTGTGCTTCAGACGGCAGGTCCTATGAGTCCATGTGTGAGTACCAGCGCGCCAAGTGCCGAGACCCAACCCTGGGTGTGGTACATCGAGGTCGATGCAAAGGTGAGTGTGTGGCCCTCGCCCAGCCAAGGAGAACCTCCTAGTACCACAGCCTCCTGTCTGGTGCAGTCCTCTCATGGGGTGGGGGAAGCTTGGAGTGAGTCTGTTCTTTCGGTTTGCTGTCCTATCCTTCCATCCCTTCAACCAGAGAGTATGGGAAGAACTGGTCGACCTGAAATATTGAGCACTTTCCTGTCTTTCAAACACTACCACCGGGCTAGGGCTTAGCGAGATGTGCTACATCTCACTGGTGCTTTTTATTTTTGTTATTTTTTGTAAATGGAGATGCTTAAAATGGCAAGACATTACTGCTGGCTTCTGAATAGGGATTCCAAATTGTTGGCCAACAAATGTGTTTTGTTTGGTCTGCGCATGGGTTTAAAAATATTTAAAACATTTGAGACAACATTTAAAAATTGGGAGATTCAGTATGAAAATCTGGATATTTGTACTCCTTATAAAACATTGGAAATTCTGGTAATATTAGGTTTGTGTTCCTGTGAGGCAACACATGGCTGGAGCTGAGGAGCAGCTCCCTGCTCAATTAGGGAGGTTTTCTCTAAATTCCCACAATCCCAGCTCTTCCTAGGTTATATCTGAGCTGAATGCCATTCTCCCTATACCCTGCTCATTTCTCCAATTTCTACTACTTTCCTATGCCTGGTAGATGTTTGAGTTTGTGATCCCTGGACTTACAGAAATTGGGGCAAGACTGAACAGGCACCCCTACAAGTTATGATTTTCCAGAGAAAGTGCTTGCAATTCCTGAACTATAAAACATCTTTGAGACCCCTTGGACTTACATGTTTTTGAATAAATCCAGTGAAAAATAATAGAAGTGGAGGTGCTGGGAATAGTTGGGAATAATAATAAGCCGATCCTGATATAAATATGACCTCTACCCCCACTTTCTTAAGAATTACATGGAAAGAAAAGATTGAGGTTGAGCAGCACTCAGTAGCCACTGCCCTTGTATCCTTAAAAAAGCCAGTTGGCTGTGTGTGGGCTCACACACAGGCAGGGTGGTTTTCTCTCAGTATTTCTAGAACTGGGCAGCCATTTTGTCCCACGGCTCTAGTGTAGAATCCAAGTGAAATATGAAATATGCTCGCTCCTCTCTTCTTTTAGATGCTGGACAGAGCAAGTGTCGCCTGGAGCGGGCTCAGGCCCTAGAGCAAGCCAAGAAGCCCCAGGAGGCGGTGTTTGTCCCAGAGTGTGGCGAGGATGGCTCCTTTACCCAGGTGAGGCCTTGGCCAAGTCTCTCAGGCCTGTTTCTTGGACAGAGGCCGAGGGGAGTGCCTGAGAGTGTGAGGGCTGCTCAGAGCTTTTGCTTTCTGGGAAATGGCTGAGGGCTCTAGGACACCCCTCTGTGCTACCTTCTGGTGCCTGTGTTCCCCCTCATGGGCCTTCCACGCCACCCCTGCCAGCTGGCGCAGGGTCCTGAAAAGGCACATGGAATTCCGAGCCAGGAAACTGGCATTGCTTGGTCCCCATCCTCCCTGCTGGCTGTCTCCATTTTTCTATTCTGTCAAATGTGGTCTGATTATTTTTTCTTATCCCTGCCAGTTTCCATGGGCAACCCTAGTATTCCCTTCTCTGTTTATTGCTACCCCCTTTGTATTCCCCTTCTTCTTACCCCCAGTCTTTGAACGGTGCAGTCTTCCCCTTAAGTACAAAGTGTGCCATGGTTCTTAGAGAGCAAGAGAGAGAGAGCTTTGTCTGAAAGTGACGTTGGCTATGTTGATGTTGGCACATGATATTTTTATAACAGGCAGCCTGGGACAATAGGGTGCACCCAGCTTCTAGGCTGGGGAGCAGGAAGCTACTGGATGAAAGAGTGGGTGAGTTAGCTGCGTGGTCGGACATGATCCTGGTGCCTACAACTTCCTTTGTGGAACAGGGTGGCCTTTGGAGCAGTCTTACTATCTCAGAGATAGAGGCAGGGGCTTCAGGTTTTAAAACTTCCCTGTAATTCTGAATCGAAGGACGTAGGCTGGCCTTTGGTTCAGTGGGTTTCAGATTTCTTTTCTGGGCTGCGACTAGGAGACTGCTGATTTCAGACTAATGCCTGTCGTGGTGGGTGTGGTGGGGGGTAGTCACTGGCATCATATTTAAAAGTTCCCCAGCTGATTCAAATGTTCAGCTAGTGGATTAATCAAATTAATTCAAATGTTCAGCTAGTGGATTAATCTGATGTTGGCTGTTGGCTCTGTGATAGGTGTTTTTATTCATTTTCTCATTCAAGCCTCATCACACGTAGGGGTTTTTATCCCCATTTACAGATGATGGAGCCACAGATGTGAAGTGGCGGAGCCCCTCCAGCCCCTGAGCCCTCCACAGTCCTCCATATTCTGCTGTTCTCTGAACTGGCAGCTTTGTAGGAGGTTCTGAGATAGGGACTGGTCAGTACACCCAAGCACCAATTCTAGAGCCAGACTGCAGGGTGGGAAGGGGTGTGTGTGGGGCCCAGTCCTCACCACCTCAGGCAAGTCCTAGAACTTCTCTGTGTCACAATATCCTTATATGAAAAATGGAGATTATTTTCCCAATTGTTATTACACATAAAAATGATTATTATTATGCATGCTATTGTATGTTACTATTATTAATATTACCAATGCTTATCTCTTAAGGCTGTAGTGAGGGTTAAATGAGTTAACACATGCAAAACACTTAGAACACAAAAATCTATCTAAATAGCTGCCATTATCATCATCGTTTTCTCCATCTTCTATTTGATTTTATTACTCAAGTCTTCCCAAGATTTTATGAATGATGTCACTTAAGGAAACCTCCCTAAATATGACAATAGATGAGCTCCCCTGTCAAATTTGGTTTATTATTTATTCTAGTGAAAAGAATATAGGTGATCATTGTATACACATACTTGAAATTACACTGCTGAGAATTCATGTATAGGGGAGAAAATCAGACCTTTCTCAGTTTTGGGCTGATCTGGGGGCGAAGTATCAGGGAAGAAGCAAAGTTGCTCCTCTGCTCCCCTTTCTCTGGGCTGTGTGATCCAGAGTGTGTGCTTGTGAGAACAGTTGACCCCTGCCCTCCTGGTCTTGAAGCGCCTGCTGCCCGGTGATGGACAGCCGCTGGGGAAATTTTGTTTTGGTGAGACCAGGCCTGCGCGGGTGGTGTTTGCCAGGTGGCGTTTGCAGATTAGTCAGGGCAGAATTGCCAAATGAGAGGGCCCCTGAAGTTCAGCAAAGGTTGGATAAGACCGTCAAGAACCCCCTCGCTGGCTTGACGCATTAAGCACTGCCATGTGTCCGAGCCTCAAGGCCGGCTCACCCGGTGGGCACAGTCAGCCAGACAGCCCTCCCATCCCCATTACTGTGATTGAAATGGATGTGCTTTTTCCCTTGATCAAAGGCCCTGCAATAACTTCACAAAGTGAGGCTGCCTCTTTGAGTGCACTTCAGTAGCATTGACAGGCTGCCAAAAGGCGACAAGACAAAATGCTTTTCTCCCTCCCCTGGTCCCCACTATCACTTTGCTGGGCTTTTTTTTTTTCAGACTAAAATCCAGACACCAGCTATGTTTCTTTAATATCTTTTAATATTGCTATGCATGCATCCTGGTATTATGAATGCATTTATCCCTGTGAATTGTTATGCAGTAACACTCTCTTGAAGTTTATGGGGGCAGTGAAGGGGCCATATGGAGCTGGATGTGTCTGACATGGGACACAGCTTGGGACCACATGGCTGGATTGGCCTTAATGAGGTTCATGTGGGATGCAGTGGCCCACTGAATAATAATTATTCTCATAATAATGCAGGGATGTTCTTTTCTTCATTTTTTCTTGTTCTGTTCTCTCCCTCCCTCCTCCCCACCACATAACTGACTGGTGCACCTTACATCAGATGAGATTATTTAAAATTGCATTATTCTTTATCAAGTTAACATCAGCTTACAACACTGTATATGATTTAGAGGTATGGGTTCATTCGTCGTCAAATGTGGGTTACTACACCATACCAACCACGTAAACACTTGTAATCACATTAAGTTTTTTAACCTACTCCACATTAAATTTTAGGAGTGGGATCCAGATATTGTATTTTTCAGGCTCTGGAGGTGGTGCCAATATTTGGTCAAAGTTGGAATGATCTGCTGTTGTAAGAGCTTCATCACTCTTGTTCTTGATTGCATCACTGAAATGTGGACTTTAGGTTCTTAAGGGACCTGTTGAGTAAGGTCGGGAGCTATGGGCTTTGTTCTTTGCTGTGGTCTTATCTGTTTCCTAGGCGTCAGGAATGTAACTCCTGACATCTGTCCTACCAAGTCCCCTGCCAAGCAGAGGGCCGGTGTCCAGCTGATGAAGTGCAGTCTCAGCTGCAGGGGAGGTATCGGGCCACCACCATCAGCCGCTGGCTGGAGCTTGTCAAGCTTGTGTGTCACTGAATAATCATGATGGTGACCCTTTTTTGAGTGCTACACCCATTAATCCTCACTGGAACCTTTTGAGGTAGTTGATAATAACCCCACTTAGAATGGAAGACTAAGTTTCAGAGGAGTTGAATAATCCCTGGTTCAAGATCTCCAAACTAGAATGGATTTTTATCCAGGCCTGCCTATTTCCAAGGCCTGTGCTTTTAACTTTTTTATGCTACAAAATTGGCCTGGATGCATATGTGATTCATTTTCATCACCATTGTTATTCCAGAAGTCCCCTCTCTGATGCTGTTGACCAATAAATCAAGCAACCATTAATAAAAAAACAAGCCCAACTTTTGATTATGGAAATTTTCAAATATACAAAGAAGTAGAAATAATAGTATAATGAACTCCATGTATCCATCATCCAGCTTCAGCAATGATTAACATGTGGCTGTTTCTGTTTCATCTTCACTTCGTTTTCATCTCCCACCCAAACTGGATTGCTTCAAAGCAAATCTCCAACACAATCTTTTTTCATCCCAGACACTTTTGAACTCTCTGTTCTGGGTTGTGTGCTGGTTGGTAGGGGGGATTTGAGAAACTTTACAACCTGTGCCCTCAGGGAGCTTACGTGCAGAGAAGGTATGAAAACATACAGTGAAGTTCAAGTATACAAGACCATGCTTGTACACTTGGTTATTTTCCAAATGCCCACTTACAGGTCATTAATTTAGAATTTTGAGTACATTTGATGGTTGAGAAAACATATACAAATTAAAACTTTCTGAACATTAAAAAGCTCTTTCAACAAAACTAAAAGACAAATGACATATATTCGCTTTATGAAAAAGGGCTAGTGTTACATAAAGAACTCTTGCAAACCAGAAAGGAGAAGATGCTAGTAGGGAAGTAGATGAGAGACATCAGTAAGTAGATCACACAGCAGAGACCAATAGCCAGTCTGTGAATATGAATGATGTCATTTTCCTTAGCAGTTAAAGAAATACCAATAAAACTTATAATGTATCACTTTTCTTACCAAACTAGTAAAAATAGAAAAAGGACGGTAATATTTAGGCTCAAGTAAAGGGAAAAGTCTATCCCCACATTGCAGTTGGGAAAGTAAGTTGGCACTGACTCTTTATGGAATAATTTTGCAATGTGGGTCAAAAGTCTTTAAATTATGCCCACATCTTGTGCCTGCAATTTACTTCTAGGAATTTAAGGAAATAATTAAAAATATGTGCAAATATTTAGTCGTGGTTTTCTATATAAGTTCTGTTTATAATAACGAATATTTGGAAACAACCTAAATATCAAGTAAATTGCTTAAGTAAATCATGATATAACTGCACTGTAAGCTAGTAAAATGGTGTGTTATGGAGCTTTATGTTATGTTATAGGTGTATGCATGCATGTTATGGACTTAATCAAATTTAAGTAGAAATATTTTCACCTTTTGTAAATAGAAAAGTTTTATATACTTTGTAAACAAAGTTCTGACACTACAGAAATATTTAAGGCAGGAAAGTCACACTAGTGATTTCATCTCCCTGAAATAGCAACAATTAAATCTATAACCATCTAGATTTTTTTCCTTTGTGTGTACTTACAATTATCTAGGACAAAAAAATTAAAATATTTCATAATATTTTATAATAACATTAACACTTTCCGTTTTTACATGTTGACATTGATAGCATTTTTGAGATACAATTGACATATTGTATTATTTAATAGTTTAATAGTTTCAGGTGTACCACTTATTGATTCCATATTAGTAAGTACTGGGAAATGATCACCACAATAAGTCTAGTTAAAATCCAACATATGCATAGTTATAAATTTT